AAAGGGGAATTCCACCAATTTTTCAAAACCTCTGCATAGTTCAATCGTCAAAATGTTAACAAAAACATTGACTTGTTCGGTTTGAAGAGCTTTACTGTAGAGAAACTTACCAACTTGGATGTCTTTACAGTGGTGATGATAGGAACCAGGAGTTACAGTGTTTACAGTGTAAATATAATTGATTTTAATATGATTTTATTTACTATCCAAAACCACCACTGAACCTATGTGAGTCTTCTGAGTCTTTGAATGTGACAATGATTATGGTGAAATCTGGTAAATCTGGAAAAAAACAGGAATTTTACTGGAGACTATTTTGCCTCACTATGTAGGCATGTATCTCTCTGTCATGAGTGTATTAAAAAAAAATTGTCCCAAAACTATTGTAAAACAATTTTTCAGACATTAGTAGTATATACATAGCCATTTCTTGTAATAACTTTGTTCGAGGAAGTTTTTTACAGGCAATAAACTCTTTAGACATCGTGTTCCTCTTAGAACTGCTGTGAACATTTTGAACTCAAGTTTCTCTACAACAGAGCATTTCACACCAGACCCCTCTGAATGACTGTTTACATCTCAATGATTGACATATGCAGAACTTTGGAAAAATCTATTCTAGTGTGTAGCTTATAGTACAATGTGATTCAAAAAAGATTCATCCGATTTCAAAGAGTAATGTTTTTACAAGCGTGAGGTGCCTAGGAACCAATCACATACCAACTGAAAGAGGGGGTCATAGAGTTTCTGACCGTCAGTGGAAGATGGCTCCCTTCACTCTGTGAGGAGATGAGACCCCTGAGCAGAAAGCGTTCTGCGTTCTCCACTTCAATAAGAGTGAATCTGTCATAACTGTGCAACGTGATTTTTGTCAGCAGTGAAGCTCCAACAGCTCAGAGCGTTCGCTGTTGGTTCCACAACACTGGATGATCTCCGAAATCGCACTGAAAGAGTCGTGAGTGCAGCGACACCCGACATGCTCAATCCAGTACGGGATGAATTTGACTATGGCGTTGATGTTGTCTGTACAGCTGGAGGAGGTTCATATTGAGTACTTGTAAAATTACATAATAAACTTTATGCTCATTAAACCATTTACAGTTTACTGCATTGATCTGTAATGATTTACAAATTAAATAAATCATTATGAAATCGGATCAATCTTTTTGAATCACCCTGTATTTCATTCCACATCGGATGGATTATTATTGAATAATATAACATCAATAATGTAACAAGTACTTCAAAGCTTTTGTACACTAGTTATGCCATCGTAAGTGTCTAAAATGATTGTGTCAAGCTTTCTATAATGTCATTCCCGGATTTTAGTGCCAGCTAAAGCGCCACTGAGTTTATTTTGAAAGGTTTAGAAATGTCCACTAGGTGGAAGCATGGGTCCACTCAACCTCTCAATAGTCACTGAGAGCTCTTTTCTTCTTTTCGTCATGAAGCTCTAAGCAGTTAAGCAGAACCAAGTCTATTATATTGTCTATAATTCTTTTAAAACTGTGGAAGCTTCATTTTAATAACCATTTTAAAAACTGATATCTCAGCCACTTTCCTTTAAAAGCCTTTTTTCAGCTGGAAACTGCTTCAGTTCAGAAGCTTTGACTGGACCTTGGACACCAGAGCTGTGCTTGGGTTTCCTGCGCTCTGTTTGGAGATCATTTACAACGTGATGTTTGAGTGATTTCTGACAAGTTAGTCATTTATTCGCCCGCCCGGCCCCCTCAGTCTGACACAAAATAGAATTTCCAAGAACATAACCTCTTATTGTTGTTATTTTATTATTTCGATGGGGTTTGTTTGGGTTCAAGTGTGACGTTTGACCCCTGCCCTGGCCGCTCCGTTACAACAGACGGCCTTCTGATGAAAACGCGATTGCTTCCAGACAGAGCGTGCATGTGTTTGCCGCGGGGGGAATAGAGCGCGCTCTGTGCACCTTGCTGTGCTGAAGAGAGACGGGACTGTGTGAGGAGCTCAGGCTCATCCCTACCAGCTCACACGCTGAGGGACGCCTCATCAGCGGGGTCTTTCAGTAAAGATACACACATAAACACACGCTTTCACACCGTAGGTGCTGTTCATGCCAAAGAATCTGTATCTCCTCACTTTGCGTACTGCCTTAAGTCACTGTCTTACACTCTACACAGCCATCTGCGTCTCGCTGTGGGTGAGAACGTTCACTGAATATTGTAAAAATAAATAATAATAAA